ACAGTTACTGAAAAAGTAACTTCAAGTTACTTTTAAGTTACTTTTTTCATCGGAATTTTTACTAGTAGTATCGATACCATTAGGGCTGTATTCAGAAACGTTATCCAACTACCTTCATATATCGTTTTACCCTTGTTTTTCACCTAATATTAAACAAGGATGATACACGGGGTTGTCAGAGTAATGCAGCCTAGGACAATTAAAAAAAAAAAGACTGGCTTACATTTACATATTATACAATTTTATTCAAAAAGATAAAAAAATTGTATGGCAAAGATGTTTTTCGTTAAAGTAATATAAACACATATGAATATGAATATGAAATAGCACACATATACAATGTTTTTTAAAAAGATTATTTTTATATTCGGCTAAAAGTTGCAAATAAATTTCAGCACTAATCCAAAATGGTCTACAACCGTTCACTGAGCGCTCTTGCATTTGATTGGCGGATTCCGTTAGATCCAAAAATATAGACCAAACAGGTACAAGAGTTCATTGAACGTTTTAATTAAATTTCTTTCTTCTGATTAATCAAATGTTTCGAAGTATTTGTAGCGCCAAGTGAATACTACCGCACACTAAATTGACAAATAAGTTTAAAATATGTAAAATAACTATGAAGGTAATTTACAATGAAGGCTATATTAAATTAGTTACTAGTTACTTAAAAGATGTAACTAAGTTAAGTTACAGTTACTGAAAAAAAAAGTAACTCTAACTGAAACTTTGTTACAAGTAACGAGTTACTTCCCATTTCTATATATATATATATAATATTTTTATTAAAAACTAATTTCATATATGTAATAATTTTAATATGCATCAATGCAAAGTAGTCCAAATTAGGGCTGTTACTTTTAACAACTTTGCATCTTCAAAAAATTGCAATCTTAAAAAAAAAACATAAATAACTAAATTTGCTATATATGATATTCTAAAAAAAATTCTATATTCTGTACATCTTTTTTTATTTATATGTTTATTTTTCAGAATACTATGGGTGGAGCGCACTTATATACACCACAGTCCATCTTACAACAGATGATGAACCAACAGAATCTACAGCAGCAACAGAATCTACAGCAGATTGGACCATGGATGCAAACACCGCAAGTACCACCAATAACTATTCCCTGGAGCGTACCAGCGTTACATCAGTCGGAATTGGTTAGATTTACTGGAGAGACCAGCTCTGGACCAATACTTCATCAGAAAAGAAAATTAGAAGCAACAGATGTAGATACGTGAGTGCAATTTGCTTTATACATATCGTCTACTGATTAATTATATGGCAAAATCTTGATAACATATTATTCAAATAGGCGTCAAACAAAGCAGTTTATAACAGAAGAAAAAATAGCTGCACATTTTAAAGATCTGCACATTAGTTCTAATTATGAATCCGAGAATCCGGTGCCATCAACTTCTACTGTTCATACGTCATCTTCCTGTTATAAGCCATTAAATATGGATTTGGATGTTGATGCAACGAATGCATTGAATAACGAACAAACAAGCGATCTACATCCAAGATTGGTCCTTTCAGAGGAACTCAAGCGAATGCAAGAGGAACCTATTTTGCCATCGACTCTTATATCTAAATTGTAATTATATCTAAGTATACACTGGTTATATATGATTTAAAAATATGACATATAAAAATACAACGCTTTTTGAAAAAGAATGAATGAATGAGAGAGAGAGAGAGAGAGAGAGAGAGAGAGAGCGAGCGAGCGAGCACTGAAAAGAAAAAATGTACTGTGTTTTCTAAGCCTTGTTTATTTTTTTCTCTTATAGAGAGAGGCCTTCTATGGCTCTGGTTCTTTGGGAACCACCAAATAGGCATCTCCGTATCCTACCAACGAGAGATACTCCAACGCCAATTCCGAATACATCCGACGACAATAATAACAACAATAATGTTACTATTCCCGATCTAAATAACATATTATCCAGTGCCAGATCAGCATTCGAGCCAATGGAGTTATGAGACTCTTTGGTTAGTACTGCATATTTTATCTCCAAATACGTTGAAAACGAAAAAGTATATTGTACTTTAAATTGGAAAAAGGTTTCAATAATCTGCAAAATGTAAACTAGAGTAAGATAAGGGATAAAATGTGTTTTGCGGTTTCTCCTACTGTATAATAATCATTTGAGTGATGTATCTGAGTGAGTTTGAAACACATCTCTAATATATTATTTTCATTTGATAATGATGGATTTTACATCATTTTAATACATCTTATAATTTCGCTATTTAAGGTTCTTGAATAGTCACCACAGTCATATTGAATTGTGACATCAAAAATGACATGTTAATTTTTGTTACGTGCCATTTGTAAATAAAGACTATTTGGATAAAACCAAATGATGATATCGCTTTAAAATAACCGTAAAAATGGATAAAAACTATGTTTATTTCTCTTCCAGACAGTCAGTAAATGATCGTAAAAAGTGATAAAAGGCACATGAAAGCATGGTGGAATAAGAAAAGTAAGCTATTGTGTATAATGGCGGAAAAAGAGTGAGGGACACAAAACGACAACCAATGGCTGCGTTCAGCAGAGAAAGCAGCTTTTCAACTGTTGTAAAATTCTTGAATATGATTGGTTTACACATTTAGATCCAATGAGGAACTACGGACAAGACCAATACATATTAAAGAATTTTACAACAGTTGCAAAGCTGCTTTCTCTACTGAACGCAGCCAATCACTTTGGACCCCAGCGAAGCGCGCTAATTTCAAACGCACACAATACTGATCAGAAATTAAATGATTGAGGTCCTATGTGATTGACTGTTAGCTCCCCACTATTTTTAAGCTACTTTATATCCATGGGAATAGCTTACCTTTCTCATTCCACCATGCGTGAAAGTGAAAATAGACTACGTATGTGTATTGAGTAAAAGTACTTTCACATGTCTTTCATCATTTTTTACGATTATTTACTGATTGTCAGGAAGAATAAGGATAGCTTTCATCCACTTTTACAACTATTTTAAAATAATCTCAGCATTTTGTTTTATTCAAATCGTCTTTATTTACAAATGGCACATAAAATTAACATGTCATTTCTTGCTTTTGACATCACGATTCTATATGGCTGTAATAACTACTCAGGAGCCTTAAATACGGCATGTACCTTTTTTATTATATATATTCTTTATTGTATATTATTTTGTTACAATTTCTTATTTATATCATTTATGTAATTAATATATGAAAGAAATTATTATTATGAAGAAATATATATATTGGGTCTGAGTATTTTCTTTATTCAAAAATTTTTCGGTTTTTTTTCTAATAACACAAGCATAAAATAAAAATATCTTTTTACATTTTATCTTTTATATCCATACATTGACTTTTATTACACAGCAAATGTTAGTAATAAGAGAACAATGCAAGAAAAGAATCTTAATTTAAAGAAAAATCGATGATTGAATAAAGATTCTTAGAATAGAGGAAATTAGTTAAATATCATTAATTTTTTCAATTTGTATTTTGCATGTAGTATTGAGCGAATGAAAGATAACGATTATGTATAAAGCGAGGTAAAATGATAACATGTAACGAGCGTTTATTATGAATGACTGGTATAAAATGATACGATGTATGTATTAGTTTTGCATTAAATTACGATTATGATAATAAAATTGCACCAGAGTTTTGATACCTTTGTCTAATATCAGAATAAAAAAATTATTGTCACAAGTTCATATTTATTAATTACTTTATTTGTTAAGCTTTATAAACAAAGTTTAAATAAATGCTTTACTTTTGGTAATTATTAATTGTTCGTTGAAAAAACATGTTTGTATAGTTTATTAACTTTTGCCAACGGTAATGAGTTCACTAAATATTAGGATTAGATTCTTTTTTACTAAAATTTAACTTTTTTTTTTTTGTTAATTTATAGTAGTATTAAATCAGTAAAAATATCTAAAAAAATATATTTAGCAACACAGTTTACTGATTGTATTTCTCGAGAGAAGAAAGAAAAGATTCAAAATTAGAAATTCCAGAAATTAATTGGAGAGACGATTACATTAGTAAATTTTATATGAATTTTTTATCTATTTTTTAAAATTTAATTTTGTGTGTTTAACTTTGTAACAGTAATTTTATTCTGCAAAATAAAAAAATTGTATCGCCTACAGATATTCGTCAATTTTAAGTATATCTAAATTAGGATTATAAATATCCGATAAATATAATATCTGAATTATCCAAACTAATTATTATCTATTTTTACTCAAATCCGGTTTGAATGAGCTATGTAATCTAAATATTAATATCCAAAGAATTACATTTGAAAATTTGAATTTAATCTATAAAATATTCGATAGAGAAAATTATATGCAAAATACAATAAGCCAAAATTGAAATTTGATGCAATTTTACACGCACGCACACATAAAGATTCTTTTGTACATTGTGTATGTTTTATAATCCTAGTGAAAATAAATACATATTAAAAATTTTAACGAATAAGAAAAGCGTAAACAATTAAATATTTTTTTATTGTAAGCTTAAATTAAAAAGTACTTCTTTTGGTTATAATAGTATCTTTCGTCATAGAAAACGTTCTTTTTAAAACTATATAACTAAATAGAAATAAATAAATTCGAGTTAACTTTCGAGCAAAACTCGAATCTTTGGAATAAAAAATATAATATACAATATTTTTTCTATTTTTTAATTATATTTTTGTTATACATAACTTCAATCAAGTTTTGCGTATTAATTTTTGATAATTATTTGAATTAAAGGACACCGCACCAATAACCTTGATCTTGACATATGATGAAACCTCAAAAGGAATGACCTTCAAAAGGTTTTAGGTAGCGGTCACTATTCGTTCAAAAGCTATTAACAAATAAAGTTTAAAAAATAATGTCTTTTTAAACTTTAACAAGTTTAAAAATTGTCAGTACAATTTCTATATATTGTACTGACGGACATATGATTTTCCATGCGAAGGGAGGTCCAGCCTTTTGAAAGGCACTCAGGGTTATGATCTTAACAACATATGTCAAAGTCGAAGTCATCGGCGCGATGTCTGTTAATCCAAATAATTATCTAATTTTGCAATTAGATTTCTATTTCTTAAAATGAGGGAGGAGGGGAAAGGAAATAAATCTAAATTAATTTTAAAATTTGTGTGTGTGTATAGAATCGGCTGTGGATACTTTAGATCAAGGATTAAAATAATTCCGAATTTGAGTAATGGTTAATTCGATGAATTAATATTCGAATATTCGAATATTGGCAAATCCAAATTATATTTACAGCTTAAACTTGGCAAAAAATACATACATATATATATTTTTTTTTCTTTTAAGTTAAATACATTACAGACTTTTAAGCTGTAATTCAGACTCTTGTACGTTCTGTTTCTTCGAATGGTCTATCTTCTGTTAAAAGTTTCCTGAATTCTTTAGGATCCTGCAACGATTCTCCATTGATCGCAGCTATGACCTTGTCGCTATCCAACATTGTTACATGGTTGCCTTCAACATAATGTACATTTATCTTGTCTCGCGTGATCTGAAAAGTTTTATTGCTGTTATTAGACATCGATGATGAGAAATTGAAACCGAATGTTTGTAACAAGTACATAGAGACATATTACCTTATATAAGCCATAATCTTCTTCGGTCATATCGACAGATGATTTCGTGGGTCTCAAAAGTGTTATAGGCGATCGTATCCATCCCAAGGATGACCAGTCGTACTTTCGTAAAGCGAGAATGTGCATATAAATATTTGTATACAATTTTTTCTGAATTTCGGTAATCGATATTTTGTCAGGAACGTGCGAAAAGAAAACATTTAATTTTTCTTCCCAGGTTGTATATTTATTAAGATCTAAAAGTAGCTGCAAAAGAAAAATAAACAGGATATTGATAACTTAAGAAGATCGTGATGATAAAATAATATTTTAGTAACCGTTAGTAAAATTTACCTTTCCGCTTGAAGCTGATTGTACAGTATCCATGATAGAAAGCAAGATATTATTTTGAAGTTCTTCTTCTGTAGTAGCTGGAAGGAATTGCTCTAACATTGTTTTCAATAGCTCAGGAGCACCATCAATTAGCACTAGTCGACCGCTTAAACCATGTTTTTCCAGTCGTTTCACCAATTCGAGAGCAATTAACGAACCATACGAATATCCGACTATGGCAAAACCTCTTTGCTCTTCCGCCTTTGGCAAGACATACTGAAAATTCCAATGAAACGTGTATCAGTCTGCGTAAAGGCAAATCTCTTTCAGAAAGAATTCGTAAAAAAGAAATATTGAATGAACACAGAACATCTCATTTTATTTATCATTTACATTCTTCCGTGTATACGTACTGTTAAAAGATGATCGGCGTATTCTGGTATAGACATAGTATTCTCCAATCCATATTGCAAAACCGTTGCGAAAGGTCTGATCTTTGACGCTAGTGCATTAAATATCTGTCCACAACCCTGTATACTCGGCAAGAGGAACACTTTTATTTTGCGCGGATCCATCCTAGTTTGTAATTCCATACAGGTCTCAGTAGGCAAATCTACGTTGTACAAAATCTGAAGCAACAGTTGTATGCCAGATAGTTCGGTTGTCTCTTCATTGGTCTCTGGATTCTGTGCTTTCTGTCGTTCCAAATCCTTATCGCGCATCTCCATTAATTTAGCGAAGTTTAGATTGCGAATATCTTGCGCGGTGAGGAAGATATCGTATTCACGTTCTAGTGTTTGTTTAATCTCTACAGCCATCATTGAATCCATGCCGAGTTCGGCTAATGATATGTTCTGAGCCACAGTTTTATTTTTCATATCTGCAAGAGTATATCAAGAGATATAATTAAATTCGATTATCGGTGCCTATATTTTTGAACAACGACACAGCATATCAATAATCTTGTTTGGAAAAATCTTCGTTAATTTCATAATTTTTTAAGATATACATATGTTTGATGGAAATAATATAAATAAATAATAAAATATGATTTTTATTCTAAAAATAAAATATTAATTCGATCAATATACTTAAACAGATTAAAAAACTAAATTAATATCCTCATTTGCATAATGCATATAAATTGTAGATTTCTCTTTTTGATTTTGTCCTAGGAAACTATTATAAAATAACAACAATCTTACTCATTATATTTATCACGGCCTCTACAATGTCGGCAGCTCCATAAGCACCTACACGCTTCTCCGCTACCACCATGCTAGATACCACTGGGCGATTCTGCAACAAGAAGATCTCCAACTTTTCAAGGCAGGAAGATACCATTTGCTGCAAAGTGCCGCCAATGACGAGTTCCTTGTTGTTGTCATGCCATTCAGCGACAAGACCAACTTCTCCTATTGCGCCCCATTGAATAGCCAGTCCCGGCAGACCGTTCGCTGCTCTACGTTCACAAATTCTCTCCATTATAGAGTTAGCCATACCATAATTCGTTTGTCCAGCATTCCCTCTCCCGCAAGAAACCGAGGAGAAAACTACGAACTGCTGAAGATGCGGGCACAACTTTCTGGATAATTCGTCCAGCATCTTCGTGGCCCAAGCTTTCGCTCTGAAAGACTCCTCGAATGATTCCGATGTTTGATTCTTGCAGATGTAGTCCTTCAGCACCACGGCAAGATTGAAGATGGCGTCTACTGAGCCCTGTTTCTCTGCAGAATTTAGTATAAATTCACAATCTTTACGATTCGAAGCGTCTGCCCCTGTGATGATAAGCACGTTTACGCCATAAGATTTCCATAACTCGACTTTCTTGCGTTGGTAACCGTTCTTTATTCCCGTTCTTGATGTCAACACTATATTTTTGGCACCTCGGAGTATCAACCAATCGGCTAATTCCAATCCGAAACCACCTAGCCCACCCAGAATAAGGTAGGTTTTATTACTATCGCAGTAATATCGTGGATCAGCAAGAATAGGTTTCTTTTCGAGAATCTTTTTCTCATCGCCGATTTTCAAAAGTATCTATAAAAAACAACATAGTTTTATTAATTTTCTTTTAGTTTCTCGCAGATTTTTACTTTAACAATAAATTTAATAATCTTTTAAAACTTTAAAGCATTGTTAGGTGACTATAACAATATATAGAATACCTGATAGTTGACGATAGATAGTGTTTGATTGTGTATAATTAGTATTTTCGATAAACAAAATATTAGCAGAACATTACAGATAAATTATTAACTAGATTTATATTAATAGCTTGCATTTTTTTTTCTCCAGCTTAATACAAATCAAGATTGTAGGATACCAGCAGAATAGAGTGTATCATTTAAACAGTTTTAAAACAGCAAATTCTGTATTCCATTTTTGCTTAATCGATCTACTATTATGTTATGTTCTGTTAGAAACAGAAGAAGATTCTGTTATATTTCTACTGGCATTTTGTAAAAAATATTTCCTAATTACATATTTTGATTAAAATACTTTTTAATTACATCTATTCTTCAACTTTAATTATGTATAATTATGTACGTTTTTATGTAATTATATATAATTATATTATATCAAAATGTTGACAGAATTTGACGAAATTATATAATATCCTAGCTACGATCGATTTGAACGCTCACGCACTTTAAGCGCTTGTAATCATCATTTTGTCTTAATCGTTTATTAGACATAAAATAAGAATAGAAGTACTGAAAAGCGCTGAAGCGTCCAAATCGACCGCAGCCCCTGTTAAATTTTTTTAAATTTTACCTTGCCTATATGCTTTCCGGTCGTCATATATCTAAAGGCCATTTCCAATTCATCCTTTTCAAAAACTTTTCTAACAAGTGGTTTGATCGCTCCACTTTTTAGACCCTCATTTACCAAATTATGCAACTCCGCCTTTTCTTCCTCTAACTTTTCGTCTTTCAATCCAAACGAAGAAGAAAGCAAATGATCAAACATAACTCCATGGAAACTGACTTCTTTCAAGAAGATCATCATTCCCAAGGAATTATTTGCAGCAAGATCAACTTTGCCGATTTCTAGGAAACGACCTCCTATCGCCAGACAACGAACTGACGCTTGGAGCTTCTCTTCGGCTAATGAATTTAAAACGATATCCACTCCCTCGCCATTGGTTCTTTGAAGTATCATCTGCTCGAAGTTAGTGTTACGCGAACTGTAAATATGATCATCCGGAATTGACGGGAACATCTCGCGAATGAATTTGCGTTTTTCAGGTGTTCCCACAGTAGTAAACACCTCACAGCCTTCGCGAAGAGCTAGATGTATCGCTGCTTGGCCGATGCCACCAGTACCGGAATGAATGAGCACCTTGTCATCTTTCTTCATCTCACCACGTTGATAGAGCGCCATATAGCATGTTGCATACACGGATGGCACAGTAGCCGCATCCTCTAACGACCAATTATCAGGTACATACCAGAACAAATTGTCCGATTTAATGATGTTGTTTGTTAAACCTCTGAAAATATATATTGATCATAAAAACTTCAATTTGTAAGATGCTTAGAACGCATAGATAAGATATATATATATATATATTTTTTAGAGAAGCTATTATATAATAGTAATCTATTTACGATTACTAATATAAATTAATAATTAAAGCTCATATAGAACGAAACAATAAAAAATTTTGAAAGATTTCATGTTACGATAGATACGTTAATCAACTTTTGAAAATATGTTAAAACTTATAATTTGAAAAGGCTCCTGCTGACTATTCAACCAAGAACTCTGCGTTGACGGTGGCGACACAGAATCAGACGGCGGTCTGGCGAAATCGGTAGCCACACAAGCACGAGCCCATGTCCGTGTACTCGCAGCGAGCACACGGGCATTGGCTCCTGCTTGTATGTGTGTGTTACAGCGCCGCACCACGATAGATGGCCGAACTTATAGGTGTGGAAAAGTGACATTTTGATCAGTTTTGACGACGAAATTTGTGCACGATGCCATTTCGTTATTATTTGCTTAATTGTGAAAATGTGACTTGTTTCATACTTCTCAAAGTAATTTTCGATGACAACTAAAGTTATCTTGGAATTTTATACGTAAAAATGTATATTTAACTCGTTTTAACAGCTGTTAAACCGTGTGTTTCTGCCAGAATATAGGCTCACTTTACGAGTCTTTTACGACCATTTACTGACCATCAAGGGAGGAAAGGACAGTTGTCATCGATTTTTACAAGTGTTTTAAAGAGATCTCGTTATTTCGTTTCATCCAAATTGTCTTTGTTTACAAATGGCATCATGCATAAATTAACGTGTCATTCCTCGCTTCTGACGTCACGATTCCAACATGGCCGCCGCGACGTAGTTAGGACTACGCCATGTTTGTAGTACCGTATCTTTTTTAAAGAAAGTATAATAAAACGACTTTTTAATGTACAGCTTGTAATATAAAGTTTAATACGAATATTACCTTCTATAGCAAAGACCCATCACACGACGACCAGTGGTATCGATACCAGCATACTCATAGCCGATCGGGAGCTCGTTGATTCCATCCCACAACATGGTAGTATCCAAAACAAGTTTTCCTGTGGTAAACATGATATCTTTAAAGTTGAGAGCCGAGTACACTACATGGACCAGATTCTTTTGATTGGTATCAGGACGTATACTGCCCTCAATCCAACGAAGCGAGCTTAAGTCACCAGGTACCTATTTTCCACAGATATATTGTACAAAAATGTAAAATAATCACGTTATATAACTGTATAGTTAAAAGTAATTATATTAATAATAACAATAATAATGTAAATTTACGTGTGTACACACATACATGTAGAATGTTTCATAATTATATTTTCTTACATACCATTTGATCAACATATGCATGACGAACAAGCTTTGGCTGTAGACTCGGCAACGGTTGATGTCTATAGGAACCCCATACTTTTCCTGGTTTCAATATATTGATCGGCAAATCCAGCTGGAGCTGTTCTGAATATAATGGGTTTTGTAGAGAAAACTTAGGAGCTTCGGTATCTTGTATCAATACACTTCTGATTATTTCTCCACCTGGTTCCTTTCTTAAACAGTTCACGAAGCCTAGCAAACCACTTTCTAACTCTGCTTCACTGACGAGTATTATTCTCATATCATTGGTTTCGCTTTCAATATTCATGAATGAATTTAACTTTTCGAGCCAGGTGAACTCATTGTTGTTAACATGGACGACTTCGGTTTTTCTGACCATCTGCTGTTTCTTTTTTAAAAGTACTATAGTCTCTTCACCAATACTCTTTTCTAGAATCACATCTAAACCCTGCTTCGAAAGTGTTGAAAGATTTTCGAGCTTGGATCTTTCTCGTGTTAATACAAAACCGCTGTTTTTCATTTTCAACAGGATTTTTTCTAATTGGTGGTCCTTATTTCTCGATAATAGCCCGATACCGACAGCAAGCATAACATTATCTTGTTTGGATACTTTATTAATGTCCAAAGCGATAACATTCGGGAATAATGAATAATCAAAACGATTAGATGGGGCTGACAGATGCACCTTCGCTTGAATCAAGGGCAAATCACCTAAAATCTCAGTGAGTATGGGTGATGCTAATTCATCCATTGTCACCTTATCAGAATCGTCGATCAATTCGATGGTTTTTATATGAACAGTTTGATGATATTCGAGTGCAATCTGCGTGGATAATCTAATCGCCTCCTTCAAGGATACTTGTGCTCTGTCGCGATAAGCCACGAATTTATATTCTTCAAGGATTGCATCGTCGGTTCTCAACCGGCGAGGTATGGCCGTAGCCTGAACACCACGGATTTCAACTCCACCTGATATTATAGTTTCCCATTCTTTGTACACGCGTACGGGGAATTCTACAACGAGAAATTTGCGATATTTCTTATTTATATATGCATAATTATAATAATTATATCAAACTTATTAGTGTAAAAGTTTTGTGTATTAGAGAATAATTCATAATTTTTATTTATTCTAAAATAATAATATAATAACAGGGCTCATAATCTTTATATATCTTTATATGATATATATATATATATATATATA